TGAAAAGTATTGCAGTATAATGCTTGTAGTACGAGCATAAAAAGGAAAATAAAAATCTAAATTAAAATTAATAATCAACACTTTATTTAAATTGTCCTAATTACTAAATGTAAGTTATGAAAAATTAATATTAAGTTTTACAAGTTGTTTTAGCCTATAGTGACGTAACAAAAAAGAGGCATCTTCATAATCATCATCATCATCGTCGCTGTCTTTGTCGGTGTCATTCATATCATGTTCTTGGGAACTTTCGTTTAATTTATGTTTCACACGTACACTTAAAACTTGCTGACATTTTTTTAGTTTATCACCCATGAAAAGTATTAAATTATCGTTATGTCCTTTACATATAACACATTTTATTTTGTCATTAGCCATTGTAACTAAATTAAAAAATAATCATTAAAATCAAAACAATTCAAACATGTGACACGATGATGATGCCTCTTTTTTGTGACGTCACTATAGGCTAAAACAACTTGTAAAACTTAATATTAATTATTCATAACTTACATTTAGTAAGTAGGACAATTAAAATAAAGTGTTGATTATTAATTTTAATCTAATTTTATATTCCATTTAATGCTCGTACTACAAGCATTATACTGCAATACTTTTCATGACTTTTACATTTTAATTCAAGGCTTAACAATCGAATTAATGTCTGGCAAATTCATTTTCAGTTTTTTTTTTTTTTTTTTTTTATAGAACGGGGGCAAACGGGCAGGAGGCTCACCTGATGTTAAGTGACACCGCCGCCCATGGACACTCTCAATGCCAGAGGGCTCGCGAGTGCGTTGCCGGCCTTTTAAGAATTGGTACGCTCTTTTCTTGAAGGACCCTAAGTCGAATTGGTTCGGAAATACTTCAGTGGGCAGCTGATTCCACATAGTGGTGGTGCGCGGCAAAAACTGCCTTGAAAAACGCTCAGTTGTGGAACGGCGGACGTCGAGGTGATACGGGTGGAATTTCGTATTCTGTCTCGACGTCCGATGATGAAACTCAGCTGCAGGTATTAATCCGAACAACTCCTCTGAACGGTAGAAGATGCAGAGTGACCCCACATCTCTACGCAACGCCAAAGGATCAAGCCGCTCGGAGAGGGATTGGTCGTCGACGATTCGAACCGCTCTGCGTTGTATACGGTCAAGTGGAAGGAGCTGGTACTGGGGAGCCCCCGCCCAGAGGTGAGAGCAGTACTCCATGTGGGGCCGAATTTGCGCTTTATATAGTTGCATGCGGTGGCCCGGAGTGAAGTACCGCCTCGCCTTGCTGAGCACACCAAGCTTTTTGGAGGCTAATTTAGCCTTTCCCTCCAAATGACCGCGAAACTGAACGTCGTTCGATATGTCAACGCCAAGTATTCCAATGCTGGCTGTGGCTTTAAGAAGAGTGTTTTCGAAAAGAGGAGTAGCGACAAAGGGTGATTTTTTAGCGGAAAACGCGCAAACTTGTGTCTTCTTGGGGTTAAATTGGACTAGGTTTTGTCTGCCCCAGTCTGAGACTCCACGTAGTAGAGTTTCGACTTCAGACACAAGTTTGTTCCGGTACTCATCAACAACTGCCCGAGAAATACCTGCCCGGCCAGTGTAAAAAGTATCCCCAGTGCTGTCATCCGCATAGCAATGAATGTTGCTAAGTTGCGACATATCATTGATATGCAAAAGAAATAGGGTTGGGGATAGAACACAGCCTTGTGGGACCCCAGCGTTCACAGGTTTAAGGTCGGAACATGCTCCGTCGATGACGACCTTGATGCTCCGATCGGCCAGAAAGCTGGAGATCCAATCGCATAATTTCTCGGGAAGCCCATAGGCTGGAAGCTTCGAGACAGTGCTCTGTGCCACACCCGATTGAAGGCTTTCGCTATGTCTAAACTTACCGCCAGCGCCTCCCCCTTGGACTCAATTGCCTCTGCCCACCTATGGGTAAGGTATACAAGGAGGTCACCAGCTGAGCGACCACGACGAAAGCCGTACTGAGAATCGCTAATCAACTGGTGGCCCTCTAGATACCACAAGAGCTGGCAATTAATAATGGTTTCCATTATTTTGGAGAACAAGGAGGTTATAGCTATTGGGCGATAGTTGGACGGATCAGAGCGATCGCCTTTTTTAGGGATCGGATGTATCGAAGCGGTCTTCCAGCACTTCGGGACAGTGCCGAGCGAGTACAGGTACCGGAAAAGGCGCGTTAAGACCGGAGCCAACTCAGGAGCACAAGTACGCAGCACAATTGGGGGGATACCATCCGGCCCGCTCGACTTATGAATGTCCAAGGAAGATAGTGCTTTGCGGACAGCACGTTGCCGGAATGTGATTTCCGGCATCGAAGAATCACACCGCGAAATGGTCGGTGGTGATCTTTAGAGTTTTTCTTATATTTAAATAACATAATATTAAAATTACAGACATTCTAAAATGCTTTGAAATTTTTATAAAATAAAACTTAAAATCGCGTCTGGCACATAGTAAGCAACGTGAAAAATGTCTGGCAATAAAAAAAGGATGTCAGGTAGACGTATTTAAAAAGGAAAAAATCAAAAATTACGCTTCTTAAAATGCAATGCTTCATCATACTGCAATACTTTATCATTTTAATTCAAGGCTTAACAATCGAATTAATGTCTGGCAAATTCATTTTCAGTTTTTCTTATATTTAAATAACATAATATTAAAATTACAGACATTCTAAAATGCTTTGAAATTTTTATAAAAATAAAACTTAAAATCGCGTCTGGCACATAGTTAGCAACGTGAAAAATTTCTGGCAATAAAAAAAGTATGTCAGGTAGACGTATTTAAAAAGGAAAAATCAAAAATTACGCTTCTTAAAATGCAATGCTTCATCATACTGCAATACTTTATCATTTTAATTCAAGGCTTAACAATCGAATTAATGTCTGGCAAATTCATTTTCAGTTTTTCTTATATTTAAATAACATAATATTAAAATTACAGACATTCTAAAATGCTTTGAAATTTTTATAAAAATAAAACTTAAAATCGCGTCTGGCACATAGTTAGCAACGTGAAAAATGTCTGGCAATAAAAAAAGTATGTCAGGTAGACGTATTTAAAAGGAAAAATCAAAAATTACGCTTCTTAAAATGCTTTTAAAATCCAGGATTATTACCTGGACAGATAGGATGCGCACTAATGAACGCAACCGCTACCGCCAGCCAGACTGCCCAGACTCTAACCGGAAGTGCAAGAAGGAAGACATATCACAAAATCAGCTGACCTAAAATTCTTTCTCGAAAACGTTGCTACCTCCCGTACTATAACAGACAAGATCGGTGCCTATAAAATTTTACAGGACAATTAAGCTGGTTTAATTTATACGGAGAATAATTACGGTTATAAAGATAAATTGTTTGGCTTAGTCTTTGATACTATATTTATGTAAAATGAGTGGCTTGTCCCTGGTCTGAACTTGAAATTCAGTTTTCAAGATAAAATATGAGCCGGTATGTCTGGATGTTAAACACATATATAGCGTGTCAGTTTTATTACATAGGATAGCTACTGTATAATCAATAGCTGCTGTGAGCTGCAATGTTATCTTTTTGTCCCACCGACATCATCAAAACTGCACACCAAAATATCGGGATAGGTAGCGCTTTTGGAAGTTACAGGGTACTGACGCAGTTCCAATTATTATTGCTTGCGATTCTTTTATGACTGTTTTGAATGTTGAAAAGCAGACACCAAAGGTTTTAATTCGTCTCAAATGTATTCCAATAATTATATTATCTTAGAGCATTATTAAGGGAATTTATTTCTAGAAAAAAATCTATTAGAATACTCTTTGCAACTTGAATGCTATCTTTACAGGGTCCAGAGTTTTAAATCCACGACGTGTCATTTGTCGTATGTAATCGTATTTTACCATTTGTTATAAATATTTCTATAATATACATTTTTCAGTTAAGAAAAAGTACACTTAGGCATTTTCTTGTAACATTTATTGTATTACATACATTTTCTTGTATGAAGTATTTATTAAACATGGCTAGGTAACAGGAAAATGAAGGAAATTTGACAGGAGTATGATGAATTACATTTTATTAGACGCGGACCATTCATCATAATTAGATTGATATTATGCTTTCTTTTATATGATTATTTCTTTCATAAATATCCCTTTCAGGTAGTACTTTCTTAGAAGACATTAGCGAACTTTACCTCCTACTAGTATCACATTGGTCATAACACGGAAGTCATATTCGATAGTTGGCAAATTATTCAATACAATCTTTATATAATAGAATGACCTGATTACAATAACGTCATTAAATGGTTATGAATTTCAGTCATAAACTGAAAACTGTGACATAGGATTTAATACAATAAAATGTGCACTAAAAAACTTAAGACTTAAATATTTATTACAGATTAGTTTTTATAAACTAGATCTCTTCTAGACTTCTATATATATATTCTAGACTAGACTTTGATATATAGATAAAGCACTGAGTCTACAAGGGGTAATTTAAGTCCCAGTCTCCGCTTGACAGACTTTAAATATAAAAACCGCTCTTGAAACAAAATTTAAGTTCGAGTTATATACAGGACAGTACTAGTTTTATCTATGTATATTGCAAGTTTTAACACTTTTTAAGACTTTGTTCGCCCCTTATTAATTTAAAAACAATACCATAAAAATTTGAACTTGTGAAAAGATTTCACTTAAATTAAAATACTGCGTATACTACTTATTTTATTTGTAATACTGAGTATAACTTCAGACTAACGCTTAAGATAATTACGCAATTTTTTTGCAATTGAGGATGTATCAAACATTCTTTATACTCTATATTATTAAAAGTCTAAAGTCTAAAGTATAGCGAGCTGTGTGAAAAGAAGTATGGTTCTATTGGTAAGCATAATACCTTTTACAATTGCTACAATTATTGACAAAAATAACAGTTTTTCTTTCGATTAATTACGCACCAATACAACACGTTTTTGACTTAATAAATACTGAATTAATATTTCTTAAATAGGAGAATCGGCTGTGTATGGTGTGGTTCCCGACCAAGTGATTTTCGCATCTTGCCATCTGTAAAATAGAGATTTTTATTAATGGCTTGTACTTATTTAAAAAAGTAATAGCCCGCCCTGCATTGCTTATGGTTACTAGTGCGTAAACCTTGACGTGTAATATTATACTCCATCTATTGATTTAAACCGCGTGAAGGTGGAATAGTTTTTGAATACATCCCGAAAGGCTTTGTGAGTGTGGCAAATGGATGATTTATAATGTAGTTGATATTATAAATCATCATCAAATAAAGAACTGCAGGCAGTTTACTAACGTTAACAAACTTTTGCGTTAGAAAATAGAACAATTGATTATTTATTGAAAATCAAATCATTTAATGCTTTAAAGTTTACGACTTCATCCAATTTTCATCTTTATCCCTCGTGTTACTTTAAAACTAAATACCCGCTATTTTCATATTAAAAACAATTGTTTAAATCACACCGAACATTCAATAAAAACAAATTTTTAATTGAAAATCTTGGAAAAAGAGCGCTCCGTGTCAGCTAAACTGAAACAAAAACAAATTTAAGCATTGTTCGTTCGTTATTTTCGATTTATCAGATCTGTCTCTAATATTCATTGTGAAAAATATTATTCGATAGTAAAGAAATCCAGTGGCGCTACAACCTTTTAGGTCTGGGCTTCAGATTCTGTATCTGTTTCGTTCTGGCAAGTTCAGGCAGGTGGTCAGCCTTCTGTGCCTGACACTCGCCGTCAGCTATTTCGATCTAAGCATACCGTTTCCTAACGATGTTTTCCTTCACCGTTCGAGCGAGTGTTAAATGCGCACATAGACAGAACGTCCATTGGTGCACCGCTGAGGATCGAACGTACGACCTCCGGGATTGCAGTTGCTGTAGCCTCTAGACCATAGTGTTCTGTTATTATTATGTAGATAAACAATCTAGCTTCATAAGCTGATGCGCATGTAGGATTTAGATAAACTTTTCCTCCTCTTTTTTGAGTTAAAAGATGCACACACAATTCCACTTTCCGACGGCCTTTTCCTATTCATGTTCGATAAAAAAAGCTATTAAAATGAATGTAGGTCCTTAAAATATAAGTAGTAATTGTTTTATTTGTAATACATTTTTATATTCTTATATCACACCGAAGTTGGGTTTGTATGGTTAACGATTGAGCAAAAGTATAATAATTTCAACACTCATTCTGCTTTCAAAAGCAGTTTGGTTAGTGAGGACAGCCCGTAGACACCTTAATGTAGCATTTCGTCTGGGGTTTTGCTGCGACGCAGTTGCCAAATGTTTGCAGCTACCAATTATAGCAGAATTGTAATGGGAATACACTGTACTATCGCTATGTTTTGGAAGGTTATTTGGTGGTGATGAGAGCAGTATATCTGTGTTCAATAAAACTGGAATATCGGCTTTGTTAAAATTTGTAGTTCTTGTAGTAGACTGTATTTTAAGGTGAAGAAGTCAATTTATCTTAATTATGTTTGAACAAAGTTTTGGTTATTTTATGCTTAACATTCATTTGACTCATTCACCAAAATGAATTCCAATTTGTGATAAACGAGTGAATAATATAAATACATTATAGATTACTTTTTACCAATACCCCATCTATTTGGACTGTGTATCTATGATTTATTTTAACCAACTTCGAAATACCGGAAAGAACAGCTACTCGACGTATATTCTTTTAAATTACTACATGTGTTTCGGGATGTCATTCCAGAAACGGTTCCATAATATGTAAAATTCTTTTTTTTTATGAAATAGGAGGCAAACGGGCAGGAGGCTCACCTGATGTTAAGTGATACCGCCGCCCATGGACACTCACAATGCCAGAAGGCTCGCAAGTGCGTTGCCGGCCTTTCAAGAATTGGTATGCTCTTTTCTTGAAGGACCCTAAGTCGAATTGGTTCGGAAATACTTCAGTGGGCAGCTGGTTCCACATAGTGGTGGTGCGCGGCAAAAACTGCCTTAGAAAACGCTCAGTTGTGGAACGACGGACGTCGAGGTGATACGGATGGTATTTTGTATTTTGCCTCGATGATGAAACTCAGCTGCTGGTATTAGAGCGAACAACTCCTCTGAACACTCTCCATGGTAAATGCGGTAGAAGATAAATCAATAATCAAATAAATCAATGATATAAAGTTAATAAAGAGCTTACTTGGTGTGAATAAGTTTTTCAAGAGGAGTGGCGCTGATGTCGTCATTTCTTAAGGTACCGGCCTCTTCATGAGCGCGGGTATCAACATTGAGTAGCACATGACACCCTCCACAAGTGTAGTAATGAATGTCAAATCTATGACAAATGTTTTACGATAAAATTAATTAGTTTATTAATAATTGTTACCTTAATTCTGGTTTGGATATAAATAAATAACCGGACTTGTTTGTTGTGAAATGTTAACACACATCCATAGTATAAACCAAAATTTATAAAATTAGCTAAGCCGATTAACGTAGAAGTATAACAATGATTATATAACTATAGTATACGTTTTAAATTTTAAAGAAAATACTTTTAAATTACGCAATAATTAAGCGTAACACGCATTGAATAAGAAAATAATTCTAATCGTTTGTATATTTTAAATATACGATTGTAAAGTATTACGTATAATTATAAATACCTTCGTTCCGCGTGATAATTCCGCAACAACTCCCGGTTTGTATTGAAAAGTACCCCAAAATGTCCAGAACAGCTAGTTACCTAAAAAATTATACATGTATGTATGTATATATGTATGTATGTATATATATATGTATATATGTATGTATGTATGTATGTGCATGTATGTATTTTAACACATATTCAAAAATGTGTATCAATTTTACTACGCCAACGTCTGAAATTGCTTGTTTTTGTATATGGTGTTACGGCGCATTTTAGGCGTCAAGACACTCCGGTGACTGTGGTTGAGTACATACTGTTTACATACAGTTTACTGTATACAGTTTAAAACAAAATTAAATCAGATATTTGATTTAAGGTCCAATTTTAAATTTTTACGCCTTTATTGTACCTTGAAATACATTAAAACTTTAATAATAGGTGGCAAAGGTTAACAATTCATTAACATGTTACAATGTTTTCGATACAACAATGAATCAAATAGTAGCTTTGGCTAAAAAACGCTTTTGTATTTTTTTTTAAATAGTAACCCAAATAGGTAAAGCTGGTGTCTTCAGTCTGGATCCAGGATACTGCTTCGATACATGGCCGGTTGTATTTTCTTCTCCGCCATACCATACAAGTAGTCCAACTGGGCTGCGAGATAACACCCCAAATTGTGGCATTGCCTGAAATCACAAATAGATTATTATCATTAGTCAAATTACTTTAAGTTGAATTAAATATGCTAACGTATCAGTCTTATTTTTGGATGAAAAACAGTGAAGACAGATAATAGATACACCCAATTACACAATGGGGATTTTTTTGTATGTTGATTATCATTATTTAGTCAAAAAAAGGAAACGTAGATTTCATTCGTAGTAAAAAATGAAAAGAGGAAGGAGAGACTTTAAAATGACATTTAAAAATAAATCAATAGGTATGTTGTAGAATTGAGGCACCAAAATATGTTATATCCATATGTTATTACTGAGTACTGAGCGACAATTGTTTTAGCATTTAATGTTTTTATACGAGAGTTGATGTCAATTAAAAGGACGTACGTAATGGTCTTCATCCCCTACATACTGCACTCCATTATGAAGATATGGGGTCGCACGTCCGGTCAGCAACAGAGTGGTAACATTAAGAGACCCCTCCACTTGAGTGGATACAAGGTAGTTCAATTTTCCATCCAAATCCTTCTTTATACTGAAAACCGAGAAAAAAATATATATTCACAAATAAATTATTACCGTAATTTAATAATAATTTCACCTTCAATTTTAAGCAATAAAAAGAATGCAAATTTTGTTGGTCTGATTGACTTGAACAGCTTTATATATTAGAGATATATATAAGATTAGAAAAATACAAATTTTAATCTTTGTACTGTACTCATTCACCCCTTTAAATTATAGAATTTATATGTAAAATATAATAAATTAACACTAAAGTACAATTGTTTGTAGAATTAGTACATAAGTCTGTAACTCTTTGGCTGTAAGTAGTAATTGTCGTAAAACGCTGTATTAAAGCAGTAAAATTAGTCACGGAGTCTAAAATACAAAAAAAAACCTGTATGATATATAGCCTCAGCTTACACTTTGTGCATATCTTACGAAACTATGTTTTTCATTAATAATTTAACATACTATTCTTGGTTATTTAGCTATTAAGTAAGCGCCACTTTTGCTTATTTATATAATGTAAATATTTTTCGTAATCCTTATTGATCAATGGCTTAAAAACTCGTTAATAAATCAAGCGTTTTCTGACCGTTAATTATAAGTTTTTCACTCATTTTCACTTACTTTTCGCATCCTCTCGAGAGAATAGCTGAGTACAAAAGGAGCAAAGCACCTGAGCCATCTTCCGACTGAAACTAATTGATTTATTTATTAATAAAGAAACAAAATAGTTTATATATTTTTACTTAACAATTTTTGTTTATTTAATATATGTGGTTATTCAGAAATTATAATAAGAATATACATAATTAATATCTCGGTATTTTATAGATTTGTTTGACACTTAAAAATGCTTTATTTATTTCGATCTTCTTTCGTAAAAAAAGGAGAATGTGACTGATAGCTGGAAATGAATGCATATTTAAGACAAAGTCGTCAGCCACACCATCTTCCTCGCGATATTTATATTTTTTCTTATATAGTTAGTGCTACTGATAAATAAACTTTGTATATATCTAAATCGAATCCTTAAACTCGATTTTATAACTATATATAATATATTGCTACGAGTCAGTCTTCCCAGGGAAAATTGAAATTTAATTTTGTAACAAGATAACTAGATGATTATTTATTAAATGACCAGTCACAAATCTAATATCTGCATCGATGTATAGTGATAATAGAATAAAAGCATTTATAATAGTTAAAAGAAAAACATCGCAGCTTATGTCACTTAAGTTGGGACCCTAAGTACTTTAAATCCGGGTCTAATCGAGACATATTATATAACAAATCCATGGTGATACAAATCTAATTCGAGACATACTGATTTCCTCACAATGTTATACTTCATTGTACGAGCGAGTTTTAAATGCGCGCATAGACAGAAACTTCAATTATGCACAGCCGGGGATCGAACCTACGACCTCAGAAATGAGTCACTAACTAGGCCAACACTGCTTTTAAAAAGGTAATATATTAGCTGCAAATAACATTTATTATACATTTATCCTGGGCTTCTGATATTGTGAGAACTGTACGAGTATATCAGGAGAAATGTAATTTTATATTTTCGATTCATAATGAAATAGTTTATGTATATTAAGAAAAGAAAGCAATTCTCGTAAATATTCACGACGTAAGTTGGTCGACTTAGAAACTTAATCCTATACGCTCCGGCATTCGGGTGTGACACTGAATACGGTTAAGGATTTAGGTCTAGCCGTATTAGAAACGAATTAAGTGGAATACCACGACTAAATAAGTTAGGCAAAAAGGTTTTCTATGAATTCAATATCCAGATTAATAATATCAAAGTAAATCTTCAAATAAAGATCCAAAGTTGTTTGGCTGGAGCGGCTTGTTTCTTTTGAGATTTTGTCTATTTGCGCAAGATATATTTTAATTTTCGTACATTTAATTTAATTTATTTTTAGTACATTAAACATTTTATGGAGGAGCAATGTTTTACTGTCAGCTGCTATTGTCATGATATATTAGAGACCTTCTAAACAACGTCAAACTATTCAATCGTCTTTAATATATAGATCTAGCAAATTGGCAAATCAAATAAAATACTAGTATTAAAGGTTTTAAACTGATTTGACACTGACTTTGTTTTTTTATAATTTGTGTTACATGCAATGACGATGGCAGCTGACAGAAACGATATTGTCTCGACATATATATATAGATAGCTTTTTTACTATTTAGTCCCACCCACTTTCTATTTACTAACAGCAGTATACTTAAATAATAATTGTCTTTGACATAATTATGACCTCTATCCTTTCCTATAGACGTTTTAACGAAATATATTTTCTCATCCCTAATAGAGAATATTCAGTACAAACGCTTTCATGAAATTCACCCAAATTACGTCTACATAAACTAAAAGCATCGTAAAATATAACTTTGGGATTGAGCTCGGTAAAAGTTTACGTAGCTGTTGACAGGACGACAACTTGACTGACGAGAGGAATTGAGCCTAATTTCACGTCATAAATCTTTTAGTAACTAATCGTATTTTCATATACACATGTACATAGTTATTAACAACTTATTACAAAGTCAGAAAGCCTGGATGAACAATGTGTACACTGTATAGAATTTGCTAGTAGAAGTGTTAGTGATTAAACATAAGCTAGATTGATGATTCTTTTGAAGCAGTCCTATCGTATGCGATCCTTTTGGCAATGAGTGTCCATGGGCGGCATCAGGTGAGCCTCCTGCCCGTTTGCCTCCTATTCTATAAAAACAAAGTACTTCAAAAGAATGAGGCTGAGACTGAGGCAATGATATTAAACTTATCATTCTTTTGATGCTGACAACGGACTTAATGGACCCATTACATGTCTAGTAAAAACTTTATATTAAATCTTTATACCAAATTCCATCAACTTAGAACCTTAGTGTTCTACTCTCTTACTCTGTAATTAATTATATTGATTATTTTTCCGACCCAAATATCGAGCTTCAAAATTATCTGGCATTTCCAATTTCAATACCCGATAATTTTGAAGCTCTTGTGGTATTATAAGTGAATGTAAATTAATCATAAAGGTTTAAGCAGATCGATTTCATGACAGTCTCGATGTCTTTGGGCGTAAGATGCTGCAGTCACTGTTCCGTCACCAATAAAAGCAATTTCAAAGTAAAAAAAATTTGAATATTTGTATTTCTTAATCTATTTTATTGTCTTTTCTTTTTATTGTATAATTTATATTCTCTTTTACCGTTGTAATGTTTTGCACACTTATCATTGATGCACATTCCTGTATTGTATTTTTATATGTCGTTAAAATAAATAAATAAATAATTTTTATATTTTGTACTTACTAAATAAAGATAGCGCTTTATAAATATTTGTAGATCCTCCAGACTCTTCAACTCGAACAAATGCAGCTTAAAATCATCATAAAAATATTTTAAATTCAAATTTATAGCTGAAATTTAATAATAATCCAAATGATTATATAACTAATTAAAATACAAAATCAGTGGCGCTACAACCTCTTTAGATCTAGGCCTTAGATGTCTGAATCCGTTTCATGATCATTTTTCAATCTAATAGGCAAGTAGGTGATCAGCCTCCAGTGCCTGACACACGCCGTCGACTTTTTGGGTCTAAGACATGTCGGTTTCCTCACGATGTTTTCCTTCACCGTTTGAGCGAATGTTAAATGCGCACAAAGAAAGAAAGTACATTGGTGCACTGCCGGGGATCGAACCTACGACCTCAGGGATGAGACTCGCATGCTGAAGCCACTTGGCCAACACTGCTCATTATATAACTAATTACTCAAAAAGAAATTTTGTAATGTTATTTAGTGTTAACTATATAAAAACGGTTCAATGGTTAGCTTATGATGGGTTTGATCCTCGGTAAAAGAATATTTGATTTGGACTAATAGGCACAAAAGAACTCCTAATTAATCTTAGAGACTTAGAGATGTATTTAGCATAACCCATCTGCGTTAACACAATATCTGTTTGAAATGTTTAATAATTGACAATATTAAACCTTAATAAAACGAAACCGTGACAAATGTATGTATTCTGTTTGTCGCTTTTTAATTTTCTCATTTTTATTGCAACAATTGATTTTAATTGGATATTTTTTTATGTATATGTAAGAATAAATCAGGAAATAAATAAATCCTAATACGGGGACAAATTACCGCGTAGTCCTATAAAAATACCTTCTCAGTGATGCCGTCTTGGTAATAACTCGAGCTGTGTTGGACATAAGTGTTATCAGTTGGCAAGGCAACCACGGCCTGGGGGTCTGTAGCACCGGCGCCAGCTGCACAACGCCATATAACTTCACTGCACGCCCGCCAGAGGGCCTCTTCTTGCTTCTCTTCAGAGGGACGTAAATAGCTGAAAATAGGCTTTGTTAGTTAATTTTCCGTTCGATATTTTGTCATATAAGTTTCATTTTAATATAACTATAAATTTAGCAGTGTTGGCCTAGTGGCTTCAGCGAGCGACTCGCATCCCTGAGGTCGTAGGTTCGATCCTCGGCTGTGCACCAATGGACTTTTTTCTATGTGCGCATTTAACATTTGCTCGAACGGTGATGGAAAATATCGTGAGGAAACCGGCTTGCCTTAGACCCTAAAGTCGACGTCGTGCGTCAGGTGCAGAAGGCTGATCACCTACTTGCCTATTAGATTAACAAATGATCATGAAACAGATACAGAAATCTGAGGCCCAGACCTAAAAGGTTGTTGCACCACTGATTTTTACAAATTAAGACAAACCAATACGTGAAGTAGCCAATACAATTTAGTTGTATTGTATATTGTTTAGTAAAATGAAAGAGCAATGTTTCACAATCACAAGCAATTTAGCAGTATAGGAAAACTAACACTAAATGTATTTCAAATAATAAAAGTAAATAATATCATTTTCAAAAATATAATATAAATCAACAAAATAAATAAATAACTTGCCAGCTGACTCCTCAGTTAACCCAAAAAAACTGTTCTCGGTAATTATTTAATGTAATAATTATTTGCCTTGCCATGTAATGCTTGCATTAATGAAGTTTATACAAGTGTATGTTAATTGACTATCGAAAAATCATGTCGTAAATCTCACAATCTCATCTTGAGCTGATTACATGACGTAAGTCTATCAAATATGCTTAATTTAATGTGGAAGAATTTATATATAACAGATGAAAAACTAAAATTAAAATTCTTGAAGAAGGTAAGTCTCGGAACAATTTAATCTGATATCTTAGATCAAACTATGGTTAATGTCGTTATCTCGTACAAGAGAACTCGTGATAGATAGAACGCATGAAAATGACTAGACGTAGTAACGCCGTAGATTTATGCCCCGAAACACCGCATGTACGAGAAATATGACAGGCATTAGGGCGTTCGTACAGTGAATATTATGGTGTACGGTAAACGAATGGTGGAGCAATGATAACCCGAAAGCTACACAATGTACAAAAAATATAAACGAAACTATTATATAAATATTGTTTAGAGTGTTTAATGTTAATACTTTACAATCTAAGGTCTCTACTTTTTGGTATGAACTTAGTTAAGTTACGACAATTAAACTAAAATGTCGGAGCAATAGCATTACTGTCATCATATAATATAATACAGAGCAAAAAATTAACAACATCAAAGTCAAATCAGTCTCAATTTTTTTTCGTAGATTGTCTTTGTCAGTCCTTAATCTCTTATTCTACTCTCTTCTTCATATATAGTTTCATACATATTATTAGCTGCATTGAATAAAGCTGTGTCAAGCTATATGATCAATTAACTTCAGGTATCCTAGTACACCGTTTATATAATTAATATTTAAATGAATAGATATCAATTACTGCTCTATAGTTTTCTTTTTGGTTAATTGTACGCTGTATCATTAAATACCAATATCTAACCCTTAAGATAGTTTACAGATAATCTTTATAATAAATATATTCGAAAAAACTTTACATCAATCGACCCATTTTTTAACTTCAACGATATTTCTACCGCTTTTTATATTTTGACGTAATATATACATTTTCAAAGGCTTCTACTTATTCCGTCACAACACTCAGGCTATCGCTACAGCCACTCGCGGTAAAATATTGGCAACATCGTTAAAACGTGCGAATAAAAGTTATTCACTTTTCTGTTTGGGCAAATGTTTTAGCATGTTGATACTAGTTTGTGGATTTTGTTCGGAAATTCAAAAAAACGTGGTTTTTGTGTGCTAGTAGGTGTCAATGTAAATGACGCTTCAGACTTTTGTTTTAGCATACAGTTTTTATAAATGGGGGTGTTTTATGTTGCTCGTTATTTGTCAATGTTTTGTGTAATAATTTCTCAGCGTTTTTAAAACTTAACGGAAAACAAAAGACGAATCAGTAGCGCGTTTCATTTGTTTCCATTTGCTTTAACCAAGAATAGGTATCGTGTCGGGCGTATGTAATTGAACTAGATAAATATGTTGTTGACTAATAAAACAATAAAACATGATTGACGATTAAATATAAAATACAGTTTTTTGTAAAAACAAAAAATACTTAATATTATCTGTAACCAGCATTTGTTTTTTATGGATGCTTTTAAAGTCCTACCAATTAAAATAAATTTAATTATCTTAAACAATCATTAGTTAGTGATTTGTTCTGATTGAAATTTTTACCTGTCTGGATGCTCAGTCGATTTGTTGTCTTTAGTTACGGGACGGGAATCGAATAGTAGCCATTTGATGATGTGGGCTTGAAGACCAGAGAGCAAAGATCTGGTCCCATTTCGCTGCGCTGACAGGCCATAACCTATTGACATATAAAAGTTTTAACAAGTGTTCTACGTTAAAAAATAACAGACAAGAGGATCACTTCATGAAAGTAAGGTAATAACGCCACCCAAGGCTCTCACATCTTTATTTACTTGTAAGTAATATCCTGATCAGTTATCGACTAAAAACCTAAATAATAATTTCCCACAAAGTTTTATGCTGTCTTTTATAGTAAGTACCTAATTGTAATACAATTTATGGGTCAAATACATTATTAAGGCAACCCAAGAAAAAAGTTTTTTACTAAATTTGTTTCTTGATACAATGATAATTATCACGAAATTAGATTAGCTATATCATTAATTAATGCCATCATAATGATTTCTTTATTAACTTTAATCGTCAAGTACCTAAAGAATTCTCCGCCGGACGCATTACAAGCGGAGTATGAATCCACTCCCCACGGGGTGGACATGCTGCAGTGCCAAATGCTGTAATCCGCAATTCCTGAACACAAATGTTTTAAAGATAACTAAGGTAAGAATACCTTGCTCTTCCTCTTCACCTAAAATTAACGTATTAATTTAAATATTTATTTCACAGATAAACAGAATTCAAGCCACTGTATCCCTCGTTTAAAGTATTATTCGTTATATGAAGGTAGCTTTCATTGTTAAGTGGATGTGGTTTAATGAATGGATGTTAGCAGTCTGGGACAGTTATTATATTTCTGATAGAGAATATCGCTAAAAACTGTTTGTTAGTAGAGGCGATACGATTTTATCAGTATGAAATTTTTTAACTATTATTTAAAGGTTGGGAGTGGTTTGGGTACGAAGTGTACGAACGTAACCTTATTAATTATGAAAAACATTAAAAGTAATAAATAGATTAAATTATATTTTAAAAAGTTCGGTTCTTTGTTCGTCTCTTAAATCTTTTTTTGATCCTTAAATTTAAACCAAGACAGTGCTACAATAAATCCTCACGAGCTCATTCCCCTGCAGTTGTAGCAGTAATACCTTGCAACGTTGTCAGTTCACTTTTGGTAGAGGAAGTTAAATCATTAATATAATTTTGTTACAGCAACTTAGGTAATGCCTGACAATACAAAACCTCCCCATTTAGCCAAAAGCTATTGAAACTAATTTCTTCATAATAGCAACAATCTTAATTAAGTTGTGAGTGTTTCTTTATTCATAGTCATCTGTCAAATTTTATAAATATTATTATATTTTTAGTAGCATAAAATGCAAAATTATTTAAATTTGTCATACAAACAACTTGTTCTTCAAATCCAAAATATATTTAAAAAAATGACATTTTTAAATTATCTATAAGATGTCTATTGCATAAATTTTAACAGAAATAGCTTACCATAGCCATTGCTTCGGTGATGGGAGTACCACCTACTACAGCAGGCCTCGCTCCCACCAGCACCCGGTTTCGAGCATATAACACACGTTCTAGAAGAATATCCAGAAAGTTATTTGTTACAATGTAATTACCCCCAAAAACCTAAGAACTGTTATCATTGCGCCATTTAAAAATCAAATTATTTCAATTGTAAACATATCATTTTCTTAAAATAGTTTTTAAATAATGATAGTTTTGTAAGCCTATAAGAATGTAAAAAAGTCCACATAAGACACACCATAAAATTCTTCTTGAGGCGTGCCCAACATATACTTTCTTAGCATTCTCTTTTGAGTATCGTGAATAACATACTCCGTATACACGTTCATAAGCATTGGTATCAATTTCAAAAAGGTTTATTTTTTAATTTAAAATATCAACATATCACCAAAACATCAGTATCCAAATAATTAATTTCAATTAAAATATTATTTTTATTTTACTGAATATTTATTTAAATACTAAATTTTCGTAAAAAAAATAGGGGTAGGGATATGTAGTTTAATTAATACGATAATAAGACCGATTCAGTTTTATGAATCAGGGTGTATCTTTTAACATTAAAATAAAGTTTAAATTTGAATCACAAAACTGTGTTGTGGCTAGTTCAGAATCTCTCCACTCACTGCAAGGAAACAATTGAAATTGGAACGATGCATTGATTTGAAATAGAACCAATTGACGCTTTCGTGCAAGTTGCATGTAAGTGATTTATTTTAAGCGATGGTGATATCTGAACACCACACAGGGCGTGTTTTCTCACCTAGTTCAGTTTATTGATATTGTACGTTGCATATATATCGCTAGGGAATAGAATTAAAAAAAAAGTCGAAACTATGGCGCGTTTCGCTTTCGCGTTTCGCGGAAAACGGTTCGTGTCGCGTATCTGTTTTTGGACTACAACAAACTAACTGAGAAACTACTCACAATCGAACCCATCGTTTTGTCCTTTGTTTTACATTCTCATCGGAAACTTAATAAATTAGAAGAGTAGCCTCACTGTCGTTTAGAAGAAAACTTTTCCAGGCAACCTTAATTAAGATGTTTCTTACACTATCCCTAGTCCATATATAAATAACGATTTGTTTTATTTAAATAATACTGAGCAGTGTTGGCCTAGTGGCTTCAGCGTGTGACTCTCATCTCTGAGGTCGTAGGTTCGATCCCCGGCGGTGCACCAATGGACTTTCTTTCTATGTGCGCATTTAACATTCGCTCGAGCGGTGAAGGTAAACATCGTGAGGAAACCGACATGTCTTAGACCCAAAAGTCGACGGCGTGCGTCAGGCACAGGCGGCTGATCATCTGCTTGCCTATTAGATAGAAAAAAAAATGATCATGAAACAGATTCAGAAATCTGAGGCCCAGACGTAAAGAAGTTGTAGCGCCACTGTTTTTTTTTTAAATTTAAATAAAATGATTAACATTGAAATATTCTCAGTTTTTCTTAACACCATGTATTGTACTGCAATAACCTTCGGTGTCATTTCTGAATGATTTAAAATAAACTTATTGGAAGGATTAAAACGATAAACACGAATAAACCTGGTTATTTAATTTTGAATTATTATACATTTAAATTTATTATTAAAGTTTATACATTTTAGTTGAAATAAATCACTCTATATTTTAGTATTGCAGAGACAAGGTTATTAACTATAACACTTGGTTTAAGCTTTGATGTATCCTCAAAACTAGAAATTTGTATAACTTATAAACTTCAAATCAAATACAATAAAATTCGGTCATCCAATTTTACATATTTTTTTTGATTAAACATTCTGTGTCGAGATCTGGATGCTACAGATAGCTCAGTGGTATAAAATTGTACAACAAACATACATATTTCTATGAAAATAGCTTTTAAAGTAAAAAAACTCAGAGCTGGTCCTTACAATTACAATTTTTGCGTGAATTAATATTATTTTGGAGCCAAAACATAAAGCTTTAATTTTATTATTTTTCAAGGTATCTTTTTACAAAAATCCAATTAAGTAACATAAACCATACTAATTAAAACACGTACCCATTGTTCGACCTTGAAAACGATTAGCAATTACCAAGAAATCACAGCACTTAAAACGTCAGAACACTATACTAGGTTGGAGGCAAGTGAGGGATTCCATGTATGCAATCAGTTTCAAGGGCGAAATGCAACGTGATTAGGGCTAATTTATGAGGTGAAAATAGGTAACACCGAATAGCAATGAGAATTTTTGATAAACACCTGGAAATTTAGTTTTGTGGTTAGGTAATTCAGTACAGCTCATTGCGATATATTATTTTAACTAGATAATAAGAAATATAAATAACTTGACCTGTTTTTTTTAATCTTAATTATCATTATTGGTCAATATCTGGCATAAGGATAACACTAACATGCTACAAATAAATTATGTTAATGGACATTAATATATACACACAACCGCCAAAACATCTAATATATAAAATTCTCGTGTCACAATGTTCGTTTTTTTACTCCTCCGAAATGGCTCTGATGAAATTTTGTATTCGTTGAATACGAGTTAGTCTGATAATTGGCTACTACATATCTATCTTTCAAACCCCTAAGTGATAAGGGGTGTCTACCACAAATTTTATTTTTTAGAATGTTTTTTTGGTTTTATTTTTTTATGATAATAACATCAAAAATACATACAACCCCTAATTTTCACTCCTCTACGATCAACCGAATTTTTTACTATTATAGATAGTAATTTTTATTGAACTACAAATTTTTTTTCCTAAAAATAATATACATGGCAAAACATCGTTTGCCGGGTCATCTAGTATATTAATAATATTACTTCATACATTACCTTCTGTCATAGTTGTAATATTTTTCGTAAAGCCATTTTGAATAAATATTGCAAAATAGAAAGGGCTAGTATTAAATAAACCTGCCTAAATTTCATCACCAGTTATCACAAACGAAACCATACAAATCACAGACATTGCGTCTATAAATCACGCGCCAAAACTAACGTCATTTTTAAAAATCGAATACCGCCATTTTGAAATATGTCTGCGGTTTATATTGCAAGTACTCACGAATGCGGGTGTCTATAAATAAAAGAATAATTTCCTATAAAGGTGTTGATACGATGAAGTCGATGTAACAATTTTCTAGTCAAATTGGATTCTTGTAATAGCGTCATATGTTGGAACCCGCTGATATTGGATAGGAATTTTCACTTTGATACTTTAAATTTTAAGGAAATTATTTTTAAAAAATAAATCCTGCCATGCATAGCATATACTGGCAGCTATATATAAAAAAAATGTTATATAATAATAATAAATTAAAAATAGTTAATAATAAATGTGTGATATAAAGATATTAAATAAATAATTGGGCAATTGAAAATAGTTCCATCCGTTAGTGTAGACATAGTACGGTCATCCCAAAGGTTTTAAACCATTCAAACGCTATTGTAACGTTTGGCACAATGCCAGCCTCTCAGCAGTGGTCAGTGGGGATCACGTGACGACAGGTGGTTTAGATCTTACATCCAGTATGCACGAGAGAACTCAATATACCTTTAGGATGCTTAGATAGACTGAAATATGTAGTTAGTTTATGATAAGTCCATTTGGATTGTTTCCACAGCACAACATACTGTTAGCAAAACTAAGTGCATTCTAATGTACTGTTATGAATAATCTCCTATAATATTAGTTGATTTTCAAACAAACTTATTATATTCTTAACTAGTAGATTATATAATATGAATTAAAATTAAAAATTGATTCAATTCAAAAAAAATAAACCTGTTTAAAAAATTAACTATCATTTTTCACTTCAAAACTATGCGCCTTTAAATTATATTATTAATAAAAACATTAAAAAATTATATTTCTTATGCAACCCACCACTTACCATCAGCCATCCTGTTCAAAATTGGTGACAGTAGAAGATCTTGTTTATCCCCTTGCAAGCTCTTTCCTCGTTTTGTTCTTAATGCTTCATATTTCATACTATTTCGTGAAGTTGGTGTTTTATTGTACACAAGAAAGTTTGTTATTTGATCCATTTTAAAGCTAAATCTATAAATGATATTGTATTTACAAGTGTGAATGAATATTGATTTGAAATACAGAGAGTGGCTAATTATAAATGTCTAATCAAATGTTACCTTTTAAACAATAGATGCTGTGATTATGATAAGTGTTTCAAGACATTGTTTTACCAGTAAATATACAATCGTTCGATTCTAATACTAAGGGGATCTTTTTAATAAGATTAATTGTATTAATAATTATGTAGTTATAAAAATTATTTTACGTGGAGTGAAGCTTATATACAAGATACTTGGTAACTATGACTCGTAGTATATATCGACAATTTAGTTGAATACTATTGTTTAACTAGGTTTAAAACCGCCAAAGAAGGAGGTTTGCCTTTTAACAAATAGGATCATGATATATTTCTACATAATTTATGCTAAATACTCTTTAACAAAATCCTCTTCATACGAGACATAATTTTAACACTTTTTTTAAGTTAGATGCAAAATTTTTATTTAAATTAAATTAAGTTTAAGCACGTTTTGTTGACATTTAAGTAAAAAAATGTTATAGTCAAATATATGATTCATAGCAATTATGACTAGTTTAGTATGGTATCCGAAAAAACTAAGCGAATAAAATAATGTAGGTTACTAGTACTACTATTGAATACTTGTGTTATATATTTAGATCTTAAGATCTCTTTTCGAAAAAGCAGCAAGCAAGTAAATGGTTTCGTAGCACATACTACACTAGTTCTGCTACGTTACGTAGACCCAACTACGCAGTCATGTGAACGCACTTTGCTACAACAAAATTACCAAAACTCTGTTTATACAAGGTTTATGTTATTTATAATGACCATATACATAACTGTATGACTGTGACTATTGTGGCGCAGAATAAATAGAATTTAGCTAAGGTTTAAAAAAACCAATTCGAAATTAACCTTGATACATTTAAAGCTTTTCTATGAAAAACATTGCATAAATTATTCTTGAATGTTATGTTATCAACATTAAGCATTATAAAAACGTGTTTATGCTTGATTGGAATCTAGAAAAAAATCGGCAATAAATGTCTGGCTTAGTCTGAAAAGAATCCTTTTTCGCTAAAATATTTTGTTTTTAATTTATAATATATATTTCTACATAATTAATATTATTTATGAGGAAGTCTTCTGTGACTGTCAAGCAATAATTTTTGTAATGAACAAAATAAAATTTGAAACGGGAACAAATCCCTTTATTTACTTATTTAATATTACAAGAATGTTGCCACTCTATTAATAAAAGTAAGCCAGCGGAATTATCGCTGAAAGAAATCTTTTCCTTCCAAAAAATACTCCGTTCGCAAGTTATTTATTTCACCATAGGATAATACAAGGATTTCGATAATCGCGTCTATTTCGACCCTTCTGCCTTTTAGCTCGGGGAGAAATATTATATTTCATTTTGTTCTTTGCAACAATGTTATGTAAATCAACGGTTTTTACATTATATTCTTTGATTCAATTCAGAAAAAGAACAATGGTCAATTTTTTAAGAAAAGATTTTATTTTGAATTTTAAAAATATATTTTCACGGCCTTTTTGCCAAGTACTTTATTTAAGCAAAGAGAAAAGATTAATTGTGTTATATAAGGGCCAGTTAAGCAAAGGATAATTCAAATTTTTTACTGATTTAGTTATGCCTAATTATATCCAAATTAAGGAGAAAATAGTTGCTGAAAATTCACTATTGAATCAGGTTCATTGTTGATTTTCAAAATCAAATGATCGAGTGACTGAAAGTCGTTTACTTTAGAATTTACTAAGGTATCAATAAAGTATGTTTTACTATAGTAAAACATTAATTTTTTTGTAAAAGCCATTTTTCGCAAAACATTCACCCATATTACATCAGCTAAAATAAAGTTATTGAAAGCTCTCATATTTTTATTGTACTGAAATCTCTTGAAACGAATAATAAAGTTATTTTTACCGTTACGATCTGAACTATCTCAAATTATACAGCCACGGAAGCACGAAACATCTGAATACCAGGTATTAAATTAATTTTAAATATGGAAGTAAAAATTAATGCGACAACAAAGTGTCCATTAAATTTTTAAATTTTTAAATTTCAAAATACTTATTTTTAAGAAAATATTTACTGTTGAGTACAGTAAATATTTTCTTAAAAATAAGTATTTTGAGTTTGTATAGTTCGATTAAACTATTTCCTTTGGTATATCCTTTGGTATATATTTAATATTTGTACACCTAAAGAACAGTTAAAACACAAAAAATCGTCAGTTTACCGACTGAGTTTATAAAGTATGGGACAGAGAAATATTTTTAATAATGTTTACCTTAACATCTCTAAATAATAGACAATGTTTACAGCTAAACCGACTTTTGTGTAGATATAGTGTACTCACCCGTAGATTTTTTGATAACGGTATCACCCAATGAATTTATCTGTATATCATTAACATTCTGCGCCACAATTTTCCACAGATTACTCATAGTAAGCGTAAAAGCATTTTAACGTACTGTTGTATCTGTTTGAGGTGAATACGCCGAACTGAGAACATCGCAAAGTGTTCTTGTTATATGTAGTTTTACACTGTGTAAAATTTCTTTTCTTTTTATAATACTGTGACCGGTTAATTGTGATACTATGTATAAATTATGTACCGTGATATTTGTATGTGCTATAGACAAGTTTAAGAATGCGTGATGGTGAGTTATAAATTTTCAATTATTATAGAATAATGAAAAAAAACAGATTTTAATAAAAAAAAATTTTAATTGTTTAAATTTAAACAACTAACTCCTAAAAATTAAGTAAAAGTCATGTTAATTTTAGTTAATTAAAGTAATTTTGGAGGTTATTTATCATTGTTTCTTACAGTATTATTTTTTCTAATTTTATACATTTATTTATTTACAAAAAATATAAAGTTTTATTTCAATGTATATTGACATAAAATTTATTAAATTAAAGACTATTACAAATTTCGTACAATGATCAAAACTACACAATCCAATATCGATCCAGGTGTCGTATAAGCGGTTTATGATCACTTGAAGGTCAAATTCCCATTATCACGACCGAATTGTGCCTAGTCATTAGTCACCTTCAATCAAATGCTTTGAGGTTTTGGTGATGGATGAAACCCTCGGCAGAAAGTATCAAGACTCATCAAGTGCTTTATAATTGGATTTTCTATGCGGTGAATACTAAGAAAAGGCTATACTTACTTTATTTATTTCTTCTATAAAGTATATTTTGAACTGACTTTAGAGGAGGACGAATTTATGAGTAATAGTAAGAAAACCTTGTATTTTAAGATTGACATATATATTTTCGTTTCATGTACATAATTGTCAGGGTAAAAGTACATTTTAAGAGTAAATTTTAGGATTTTATCTATTACTGAACATGTTTGCCCCATGCCCCAATGTAGATTTTAGATGGGAGAAGATGTACTAAACTCATTGTTGCATGTACAGTTTTTATAAATATACATAATTTTCTTTAATATTTGGAAGAATAAATGTCTTTGTAATGCTCATCAAACAGTCAATTTATACAAACGAAAATCTTAAATTAAAAGAAAGAAAATTCTATCTTTATGTAAAACGATACTAGCTATATATAGATAACCTAATAAAAAAATTCATGCAGTTATAAATATAAATGAAATTCGTTGTTAATTTTAATAACTGGTATGTACATATTATAATGATAGACCTGAATAAATTTGTTCGAAGCAAATCTAATGCATGAGTAATCGATAGTAATAACACTTCCCATGTCTGGGTATAAAATAAAATGCTTAAAATAGGTTCTACCTTATTTGTTATACCTCTATTATATTTAATATTCCAGAGGGACACATTTCACGCGAACGAAATCGCGTGCAACAGTAAATCTTATGCAACCAAATAAATACAAAATTTACTCCATTGTCTTACTGACAAAATGTTGCTTATATTATAAGAAATAAAATATATAAATGATCGTAACATCAAATATTATAAAACAAAAATTACTTTATTTATCAATGTCCTCAAACTGTGGGGCAGCGCAAGTGATATAAACATAAATATACTCCAGCTCCAACAGAACAAGATCCTAAGGCTGCTGCCTCGAATTTTGCGGGCAGCGGGGCGGCAGGATCTTATACGTAAAATCAAATGGACCGGTTCTCGAAAACAGCGGCGTGGCAGCGGCGCGAGGGCGGGTAACGAGAGGTGCAATCGCCCGCTCCCGCGCCGCAGCGGCCGCCGCCCCGCTGCCCGCAAAATTCGAGGCAGCAGCCTAAGAGCAGTTGCAAAAGTAGCATGGTACATAACCAACAACGAAGTTCACGAACACCTTAAAATGAGAACTATCCAAGAGGAAATCCGGACACTGGCAGCTAAATACAAAGAGCGGTTAAGCTGTCACCCGAATGAACTTGCTCGCCAACTCACCATATTCTAGAGCTAGAAGACCGGCAGTAGCTCTAGACAGAAGATGAGTAGATGCTTCCAATGGGCAGTCACTCCACATGACAGCACCTCAGAAAAAAACCGCAGAAAAAAGCCTTAGGGCTGATTGCAAATAACCGCAGAAAAAAAAATATAGGCGGCGATGAAACTAAGGGGTAGAAATAAAACATGTAAAGCGCCTAAAGCAGAGGCCTTTGGACAACAGGAAAAAAACAGTAGTCTTTCAAATAAATAAGAAAAAAGTGTGGCTAGTAATAATTTTATTTAAAAATTACTTCCCAAATTAAAAAAAATAACCTATATATGCCTTATAAAAACCGAATTGCAGACAGGAAAATAAGCCGAATCGAAGATGTAAGAAATGCCGCTACAGTGCTTAATAGGTGTAATTCTTCAGGTAACTAATAAAGACTCCGTGTGCCGAATACAAGCGAGGTATATAAATGAGACGGCTCGATCACTGTCGCTGTTTATTAGCGGCCTTTGAAATCAGGGTTGTCACTACTTTGTAATTTCATAAAAAAAATATATTGATAAAGTCGA